GGGATCTGTTACTCTTTTTTTCCCTTTGGGATGACAGCGCCTTGCTGTTGCTTCTCCCGTGTTTGCAGTAAAATGTCTCTAACCATGGAGTGAAGGGAAAATAAATTTTAGTAAGAAAGCGGGTGAGAGGTTGTTATGGGTGGGGAAATATATGCCGTTTCCCCAAAGCCCTGGAAAGCAAGCATATCTATCTTAAGTCTTAATCTCTCTCAAATCTAAGGGTTTCTATCCAGTCATTGTGAGTCTAATGAATATAAAACCTTTCTCTTGTGTCCCTTGATTCATCTTGCTTCCATAAAAACAAAAATCTTCCTTTAGCTACTCAGATTAAAAAAAAAAAGAATTGGTTTGTTGTTCTTTCTTTTTAATTGCAGTGCTGTGGAGAAGTTGCTCACAATATAAACAGATAACCAGCAATGAGGACCTGGTAAGAATTTTTTTCTCTTCCTTTTTATAAGGCATTTGCTAATATGACCCAATTCTTATATTTTAGCTATTTGAATAGAGTTCAGCTGGAGGACAAAACAATAATCATTAGCCTAAATTTGAAAATTATAATTCATTGATGAATAGACACTTGAGTTTTGAAGCAAGAGAATTCCTAGAATCCAGCAAGAAGCACGGCTTCTGTAATACCATATTTTTCTTCCTAGATCTTAAATTTAAGGACGTGCTTTGGGAATTAAAAAATAAAGATAGTTTTGGTGGATGGAATAATTGCATATAATCCAACAAAGAGATTGTGCAAACCTTACCTATAGCTTGGCTTTCTTCCCCATTTCAAATTCAATTCTGTCTTTACCCCTTTCATCACTTTGGGGGTGGGGGCTGTCTTAGTAAATGAGGGATCAAAATTAATTTTATACCAGGACATTAAATACAGTTTCTTCCAACCTGTAGATGCATTTTTATGGGTTTCAAGTACTAGCATTGGACTTGGGCAGTATATTTTGTTGCTACATGCAAAGATAATTTAACACTAATCAGACCATACAAAGCACTTAGCAGTGTAGAGAAAGAATATAGTCAGTCATTATATGTGAGTGAGTATAAATTGGATTAAGGAAGTCTGAGGAGTTGGTAAAAACAAAAGAACTCCTCCAGTTCCTCGGAGCATCCATCCTGGTCATCTAATTCACACAATAGTTCAAGAGAGTAAAGGAAATCACTAGAGCTCCTCTTTAGGTTATAAATCCCACTGAGATTCTAATGAAAGCTATGGGCTCTCTCAGAAAGAGGCACACAGTCCCATTCATTTGAAATTTTACCTAGAACTACAGGGAGGGGTTCAAGGACTTCTTAGGCATTTCTAGATGAAGAATCTCTGGACGGGGGACACCTATACTGATTGTAGGAGGGAGGTATTGGTACAGAAGCTTTAGAGGCAGTAATGAAGAAAGAAACAACAACCAGGCTGACAGAAATTTATAAAGCAGTCTGGGGCCATAAAATTGGTCAAAGAACCTTATGTTACAGTAAACCATGTGGCACTGTGTTTTTATAACATAAAAATAGTGATAAAACATCTGATAGGGAAATATGGGGATGGATTAGGGATTGTACTAACTTAAGCCTAGGCAAAACACTTTGAGGAGAGACTCAGTCATCGCAGATTTGAATTTTTTCCCCCCCATAAACCCTTTTTTCTCCAAAGATTGTATTTTATCCCAGAATCCTATATGACTTAATTCCTCCTTAACCAAACTAAAAATAAAATACTTGTACGAATATGGACAAAGCACAGTGAACTCTTTAAAATGGCGAATCATTTTCAGAAGTACTTGATTGTTTTTACAAGCCAAGCTGTTGTATTTATTCTTTTTCACAATAAGAAAGGTACTAATCCTTTGGATAGATTTAAATGTGGTAATGTTAAGATTTAATTTTTTTAATTCAAAATTAACACATTAAACTATATTACCAGATTTTTTTTTCCTTTATCCTAGCCCATTCCAATGGAAAATCCTTATAAGGAGCCTCTTAAAAAATGTATCTTGTGTGGAAAACGTGTAGATTATAAGAATGTACAGGTGAGATCTGGTTTTACTTCACTATGATACTTGATTTTAGGATTTTGCTTCTTTACTAGTCTCAACTAAAGAGAATCAAGTGTTTTATAATAGGCTTTGTGCAGAGGCAGCTGTTTTAGAAACTTCATAATTTCAAATCTGGTTATACTTCTATGTATACGGTATCTATTTTATTCGAATAAGAGCCCCCTGGCTCTCCTTCATTTGCTATTATTTCAGCTCAACGTTTCTTCCTCTTTTCTCTGCCCCAAACATCTTAGCCAGAGCTCACCTTGGCAGTGCTTCTCAGTTGGTGGAGTTGAGTGGTTTGGAAAAAGCTCCTCTCGTGAAGCTGATCTCTACCTCACACCAGTATCACTGCTTCAAATATAGTTTTATCTGTTGTCCATCACTCAGCAAATTAAAAGTGGCAAATTTAGTGGATAGAGTAATGCTGGAGCTAAGTCTGCTGACAATAGTATAAAGTGATAGCTGCCTTGGAGAAAAACCAAGAAAGTTTAAAATGCAACGTATTAGGAGGATTATGCATAGTGCCAAGAAAAGTGCCTGGCACCTGGAAAGTGCTGAAGAATTTAAATTAATAAAACATAAATTACGGCAAATGGCCCGATGTACCTGTACCTTTTGAAGACCTCACTGTAGTCTGCTGTTATGTGATAGCTTATCATGAGAGGTGAAATGTTTAGTACCCTGTTGTAAGCAGCAGTATTTTAGAAAAGTCATCTGTGGAAAAGTCAAGAGAACAGCTTTAGCACTGAAAGAATATGCTCATTAATCTGTTATGTAGACTTTTTTGCACACTAGGTAAGAGTGTTTAGTAATTAGTTATTTAAAAAGATGACTGATTAATGGGATAGTTCAGTATTTTTATTCATATTTTATGACATTTTCTGAAATTTATTAATAAACCTTTACATAACTTGAAGGTAACATAAAATAGCTTTGTTTTTTGAAATTTACACAATCAAGGTTGAATAACATATATTAATATAAATTTTTTTTCCTCTCCCAATCAAACTCCAGCTTTTGTCCCAGTTTATTTCTCCATTTACTGGATGCATTTATGGGAGGCACATAACAGGTATTTTGTTTTCTATTATAGCAACTTAAATGTAGATATGAATTATATAGATCTACTTCTTTTATTTAAGAAAAACTGGCAAATTTTCAAAGTGTTATAAATCACTATTAGACTAGATACTACAGGTACTTTAAGAAAGGCTCTTCTTAGGCCAAAAGATTATTTCGCGTGTCTTCTTATGCTCAGTTAACTATAGAGGCTGACAAGATGTAGAAAACTTGGGCCTAAAAAAACGGCACTGATGTTCTGAAGTATGCTATCGTCCTTCCAAGACGATTATTTAAACCAGTAAACCAGGGACCTACTGCCCATAGGCCAAATTGGATCTGCCATCATTTGTAAATAGCTTAGTTTACTAGTGTCTCTGACTGCTTTATGAGCTACGACGGTGTGAGCTGAGAAGTTAGGACAGAGACTGTATGGCCTGCAAAGCCTAAGATGTTACTGTCTTACAGATTTTCCAACCCTTCCTTGACTTACACAATTGTTAGGCAGTTTGAGTACTGGCCTTTTTTATGAATAAGAAAGCATTTTCTTTTATAGGTCTTTGTGGGAAGAAACAAAAAGAAATCACAAAAGCGATTAAGAGAGCTCAAATAATGGGTAAGAGTACCTGAAAAAATGATTTGGGCTAATCAAAATTTTCCTCATTATCTTTTCTGAAGAACTTTAATTATCTCATTACAGGGTTTATGCCAGTTACATACAAGGATCCTGCATATCTCAAAGACCCTAAAGTCTGTAACATCAAATATCGGGAGTAAATTATATAAGGTTATCATCAATAAACTTATTTTACAACTGGTTGTGATGCTAATATTGACTCAAACTATAAGATTTAATAACTTGGGTAGAAAATTACTAGACTAAATCTTATCAAACTTACTAAGTTAAAAACTTAATAATATGAAGTCTTATGAGGAAAAAGTGCTTCAGAAGTGAGGCTTCCTCTCCAAATCAGTGAATGTTCATTAAAAAAAAAAAAGATTTGGGGTGCCGGCCCCATGGCCGAGTGGTTAAGTGTGCGTGCCCCACTTCGGTGGCCCAGGGTTTCTCGGGTTCGGATCCTGGGTGTGGACGTGGCACCATTCATCAGGCAGTTTTGAGGCGGCATCCCACATGCCACAACTAGAAGGAACCACAACTAAAAGTATACAACTATCTACTGGGGGGTATTTGGGGAGAAGAAGAAAAAAAAAAAAGATTTAAAATGTTAATACTCATTACCTTTTACATACGTATGAATAAAAACGGTGCTGTGGGATTGTCACTTATATCTGGTCCACAAACAGGCTCATACAATAATATACCACTGATACTGGGATATTAAATATGGAAGGGATGACTTGTATTGGAATTTTACTTTAGGCTCAGATTCTGTCTTGTAAATGGGATTTTAGGGATATGGGTGCAGGAAAGTGAAATGCTTAATGTGCAAATCCCATGTGTAGGGTGTGGACTTGAAATTGCTCAGGAAGATTTTCTAACTGGCAAATATAAGTATGACTGGCTAAGACAGTGGGCCTTCTCTTTGCAGAGATGTAACATGGGGATGGCTAGTGGTGCTATCACGGGACCTAACATTTATTCCTGGACTAGTCTATCCTGAAACTGGTAGTATCCTTTAAATAAACTGATCCACAGGCAATCTATTACGTCATCTTATCTTAACTCCAATGATAAAAACTGCCAAAAGATGGAGAATAAATGGGAAAAAATATCCCATAAGGACTCTTGCTCCTCAATGATGGAACGATCAGCTGTGTACTAACGACTTCAGCAAGCTTCTCTAATTGAAAATTGAGCATTGCTTTCTTCAAAGGAGATGGATTGCTGTGCAAAAGTAGGAGCTAAATGCTTTTGTACCTCTAGAGTTTTAGCAAATTGAACTTTGTATGAAGGCCCATTTAAGACTTCAGTTTGAATAAGTGTGTAAGCAGTCTTTGAAAAATTTCAAGCTATTGTTTTCAGAAGACATTTGCATATGCTGCCTGCTGTTGTTTCTTTGTTCCTAGTCTAGCCTTTATATCCAGTTTTGTTCCTTTGTTGTTTACATTTAGTCATTATCTATGTTCTGTGTGATAAGTTCCATATGCTCTGGTGATGGCTATGGTTATTTTTAAATTAGGGTTCAGATTGACAGTTTGTTTCCCCTCCTTCTGCCCTGCACAACACCACAATGCTTATGTAACCAGTAAAACAATCCCAGCAGAAACTCATTATCTGCACAAATCATCCCAGGTATTATGTGGGCCTCATAAGCACCCCATGGTAACCAGTGCATTTTAAAACACAGGTAAATGATAGTTTTTGATACTAGCTGTGAATTTGCTCTATCACCTAGGAAGTAACAGATGGAAGAGCAATGGGCAAAGTGTGTTCAGTATTTCATCCAGTGAGTGAAACATGAAGGCTTCATGTGATGTGTATGTTTCATGGAAAATTCTCACAATTGTGGAAAAGACAAATAGAAAAAACACAGTAAAAATTCTCTTTGCCAACCTCCACTTAACCAACTCACTAGATAAAACTAGGGATTTACAATCTTCCTTAAAAATTACTGAAGCCCGTGACTCTCCAAACCTGTTGAGTTGTGCGTTACCAAGAGTCAGCTATTTTGTTCTCAGATCTGTCGCTTGTATTTGTTTTTGCATTGATGAAGTATGAGCATTAAAAAGAAAGTTACTGTTGCAATGAAAACTAAGTAAATGCCCTGGAAAGAGCTGATAACTACATTTAAAAAAAAATAGTTGTCAAATAAGGTCTATCACCTCATTAGGTTAGGACAATTGAGTAAGGTTGGGAGTGGGAGGGTGCTGTGAAATGAAAAAACCTATCAGCATTTTGTACTTAGGTTGCTTTGCAAGTTTCTTTAAATCTTTCACTTTAAAGAAACTAAAACTGGGAATTGTAAAGGGTAAGTAATGGGTGTCATTTACATAGGAACTCCAGTCACTGGACTTAACACTTGCAGAAACATTCCTGACCCTACAACAAGTTGACAGGTGAATGTATACTTGTGCTTTATGTTAAAATGAAATCTCTGTGATAAACATCCTATGTGTGTATATATGTATGTATCATTTCTGAGTCCCACTTAAACTGGCCTTTTCAGCTAACTGACCAATTGCTGATCTCAAACACACTGCATTACCAGGCTTGTTCTGTAGTCAAATTCTGAATTCACTCGATTTTGTGTAAAGGACTCTAAACTAGGGAAAGGTTACTATTTGTATTGTGTTATAGTTGTGCCATAATTAGGAGATTTAGCAAATAAAAGTATAGGACATGCAATTAAATTTGAATTTCAGATAAACAAATAATTTTTTAATGTTAAGTATGTCCCTAATATTGCATGGTGTCCAGCATTTTATCTGGCAACTCTAGCCATAATGTACTATTTATCATAACTTAAGGAGTAAGAATTTTAACGACTTAGATAAAAAGGAAGTAAATTTGCATATTAACTTTAGACTTCTTTATATTGTGAAAGTAAGGCTAGCTAATCTCTCTTTTCCAATTCTAAAGAATACAAGTTTAAAAGAGTATCTATTTAAACTTTTCCCTCAACAGTTTAGTAAAAGGGGCAAAAAGATTTTGGTTTTAAAATAAAAGTATCTGATATTTTTTAAAGTACTTTATAAAATAAATGCACTAGAACTTATCTATGTATTCCTGCAAATAGTTGAACATAGTAAAAATAACAGAAATGTTTTGCTTTACCCTTCAGCCAACCAAAAATCTCCTTTGGCCTAAAAGGATCAGAATGTAGGAGACTGTGGATATTCGCCAGAACTCTTCATTTTCTCAATCTCTTCATCAGTTTCTGGGCTGGTCGTTGTGGATGCTTTTTCTTGGTTACTACTATCAGTATCTGTTTTAGATGGTTTGTTTTGTATCAGCCGTGACTTCTTGAATTGCCATCCTCCATCATCTGTATCTAAAGCTTTACGCTTAATCATTAGCAGTGTACTACCAGCTGGACTAGCTTCAGGAATGTCACTGTATTCTACCATTAAGGTCAGGTTGTCTACCACATTGAGATGGTGGTTGGTAGTACAGCTACTTTTAGAAATATGCCTATTTTTCAAGGAGATCACACATGAATGAAGAAATTCACGATCTGGAAAAAAAGTCCGTAAAGCTTCACAAAGAAAAATGTTCTCCTGAGGGTCTTTTTGGACATTCTTCTCTTCTAAACAAGATAAAATACAGTTCAGCATACAGTATTTGTTCTACAAAGGTTTTATAATTATCTGTTAGTAAAGTTTGGTCAAAAAGACTAAACAATTTTATCAAAATATCTCAAGTAAGAAAAATGACAAGCATAATCCCAAACTCCAATTTATATGGCACAATATTCTAAAAGAAAATTAAAGTTATATTCTTTAATATCAACAATATAGTATAGCTACAACAGTACCATTTCTTTCTTCAGTGGGATTTAAGAATGTTAGTAAAACAATTACTTTTAATCCTACGGTGGACAAATTCATCAGTTAGTGCAGCTGGCTCATCCATAATTCAAATCGGTAAGAATTTTTTTAAAAGCACAGAAAGTAGTAATGCATGAACTTTTTTTTTGGGTGAAGATCAGCCCTGAGCTAACATCTGTTTCAGTCTTCCTCTGTTTTACATGGGATGCCACCACAGCGTGGCTTGACAAGTGGTGCTAGGTCAGTGCCCAGGATCTGAACCTGCGAACCCCACCGAAGCAGTGTGTGTGAACCTAACCACTATGCGACTGGGCCAGCCCATGTGAACTTTTTACTTACGTGTTGCTTGAATCTGTGCTTGTTTTCTTTTTTTAATTTCTTGTTTTAATCTGTTTACATCCTTTAGTAGTTTTTCTACTGCTCGCTCACTGTGTTCCACTTTTTTGCATATACTCTGCAAAATAAAATAAGGGCATAACTAAAATTCCAAGTTGTGTACTACAGTCTACGTTCACAAATAATATAAAATATCCTTCATGGTACATAATATCTAACATTATCTGCCTTTACAAAAATTTTATTTTATTTTGCTATTTTCTGGAGGAATTCAGCAAACACTTATCTGGTGTTTTATAGTTATAAAATGCTTTCCAGATGTATTAACTTCCTATTTATACATAACTTTACCATACTAGTTATTTCCTTGATAATACACAGAAATAAAACAAAAAAAACGAGAAAATATGAACAATTTTGAAAGATGCAGTTACTGCCAATATTTAACATTAAAGAGACTATGTTTTACTCTTATGAAATAAAACTATCAAAGATTTTAATTCCTGTAAAAGAAATTACTTTTGAAAAGCAGAGTGGATTTATGTGTCATCAGTTTTAAGTACTAATACCCTTTGACTCAGTGGTTTCATTTTTGGAATGTATCTTACATAAATAACAAAAATTTATCTAAGATGATGTTTCCTAGTATAATATCAAATCAAAAGTAACTAATTTCCAATCATAGGGTAATAGGTTGTTACACCAGTTTTAAAGTAGATAGTTTCTAGGATGTCTGCCCAGCTTATTTCTCATCAACTTGTTCACCCTGCTGTAAAAATTCACCAGTGACCCCGTTGACCAACTTTAATCCTAACTGACCCAAGCAGAGATAATATATAACCAACTGGCAAATTCTGATGTCTTGAATAGAAGAGATCTAAACGCAGGAGCTGTGGGATGGCCATTCTCTGTTCGGCCAGTGGATGAATAAAAAGATTTGTAGATACTATAGAGGAAACCAATGTGCAAACACAAAGGGACAGAAAGTTCTGATGGCATTCCAGCTCCTGGATCCAATTCCTTCCTGAAGCTCAGCTGCTGTCTGCCTACAGTTCCTGTAACTTACCTCTACGTTCCCTATTTAAGCCCCAGTTGGTACTTTTAACATTAAGAATTCTAAAGTACTGCTCTATGAAATACACTGCCATTAAAAAGATCTACAGAATAAGGAGCAACATGAAAAATGTTTAATGATATATCAAATCAATAAAAATCATGACACAAATTTATAGGAACCCATTACTGTCAACTGTGTAAAAGCATGTATACATTAGGGAAAAACTGGAGAATATGGCAAAGGTAAAACAGTTATGTTACAATGTTGAGATTCTGGATGATTCTCTATTTTCTAAAGTTCCTCTATTTATCATTCATATTAAAAAAGTGTGCTGGGCCAGCCGGTGGCGTATTGGTTAAGTTCACATGCTCCGCTTCTGTGGCCTGGGGTTCGTGGGTTCAGTCCTGGGTGTGGACCTACACATGACTCAACAAGCCATACTGTGGCAGTGTCCCACATAGAAAATGGAGGAGGACTGGCACAGATGTTAGCTCAGCGACAATCATCCTCAAGCAAAAAAAGGAAGATTGGCAACAGATGTTAGCTCAGAGCTGGTATTCCTCACCAAAGGAAAAAAAAAAGTGTGCAACATTAGTAGTGTGTAAAATTTATTAACCCCACTTCTCTTAGTGTGCTATACTGATGAGTATGGTGGCCACGGAAATAGACTTCTCAGATCTCCATTTGGAGGAAGCATAGTTTACCGACAGCCCCAGCTGCCATCCTTTTGAGTCCACTGCTTTGTCTGCGCTTAGGCCACGCTTCCCCTAGGCTGCTCTTCACCAGTGACTGAGAACAGTGTGGGTATTAGTACAGGTGCATTCCTGTAGGACAGCTTTGTTCAAAGCCTCCCTATCAGCCTGGCTGAAACTTGTCTGCCCTGCAGTCTAAAAGCTCTTCCTACTCCACTCTCCTCACTCTCCCCCATCTCCTTTCTCAGGTGTCCTGCTTGCGTTCCAAGTCTCCCTGCCTGCTCTTGCTCCTTCCCTCTTATACTTTTCAGGCCCAATAAATCTGTTGCATGTAATCCCATCTTGATGTCTCAAAGGACGTGAACTGACACAATGAGATACAACTTAGTATTGTGGTAGATTGTTGTTCCCAAATATTTGCTTCCCTTTTTATCCCTGCCTATTGCCTTGTGACACCCTCTGGCCAACAGAACGTGAGTAGAAGTGACATGCTGGCTCTGAGCAGAAGTTTTAAGAGCTGTTGTGAACTTCCACCAACTTTCTTGCTCTTTTCCCTTTGTCGTGAGAAGAGCATGTTCCACATAAGGGCTGCTCCTTCAGTCTGGATCCTAGGATGACGATGACATTTAGAACAGGAACAGAACTGTAGCCAAGATATAATGTGAGTGAGACTAAACTTCTGTTTTTGTAGGCCACTGAGATTGAGGTCTTTGTAACTGAAGCTAAACTAACAGCAAAATAGAAATCTAAAATGTCATGTTATCCCTAGAAAATTTCAGGGATCAATTTGATATGAACTCTAGAAGTGGTCTTTAAGTGTTTGATATTTAATGTTAACTTACCTTTAATTCCTCTTGTAAAGAAGCATACATTTCATTTATCTTATGTACCTCCTTTAAAGATCCATCTTCTTTAAAAAATTCAGAGCTGTAAAAAATCACCGTTTTCTCAGGCAAGTGTACAGAACTTATTTTAATGATACGATGAAAACTTATTTGTCATTAGGAACAATGGAAGATTCTTTTTACTGGCTTTGTAAGGACCATAATTTTGTCAACCTACTTGTATATAACAAAACCAACCAGAAAACCTAGTTCATCTACCTTCACATTAGCAAACTTTTTAGCCTCCTAAATACTATTGCCAGGACTCAAAAAAGAGGTTCAGTAAAAACAGATAAAGATTGAAGGAGGGAGGGGGGAAAAAGGTTTCTTTCTTGGCAATGGGGACCAGTCAATTCAAAAAATATTTTACTGAGTTTAAGTCATTGATTCAAAGAGGCAACATTATTTTATATACCACGAAGAAAGAAAAACAATACTAAGGCACGGTTTGTAAGACACCCCAATTTGAGATAAATGTAAAACTGTGCATCTTATAATCAATGAAATGTGGTACTGCAGTCCCCCCTCATCTGTGGGGGATACATTCCAAGACACCCCGTGGATGCCTGAAACCACGGATAGTACCCGAACCCTATATATACTCTGTTTTTTCATATATATATATAATACACACACACACACATATATGAAATAAATTTTAATTTATAAATTAGGCACAGTGAGAGATTAACAAAATAGAATTATAACAATATACTGTAATAAAATCTGTTACTGTAGATCTTAGCAACCTCAGCATGTGATTTTTTTTTCTTTCCTATTAAGTGGAGAACTTTCACCTTTTCACTTAAAGGAAGCACTTCATGATTTCTCTTGGGCATATCCAAATTGCCATCATCACTACTCTTGCACAGTGGGGCCATTATTAAGTAAAATAAGATCTACTTGAACACAAGCACTGTGATACCTCGACAGTCCATCTGACAACTAAGTTGGCTACTAACTGACTAAGGGGCAGGTAGCGTATCCAGGACGCAGGACAAAGGGATGACTCATGTCCTGGGCAGGATTGAGTGGGTTGGCATTAGATTTCATCACACTACTCAGAACAGCACACAATTCAAAACTTATGAATTGTTTATTTCTGGAATTTTCCATTTAATATTCTCAGACCACGGTTGACCAAGGGTAACTGAAACTGCAGAGAGCAAAAGCACAAGTATGGGGGACTACTATTCAATTTCTGTAAGCAACTGTTAAGCACTGTGGGAACACAAAAATAAATAAAATCTAGTCTCTTCATAAAGTTTACACTCTAGTCAGTATCGTATAGAACCAGCGTTGTTATTTCTGACTTATTAATGACCAAAAAAAAGTTATACCTCAGCTACAGTCTGAGTGAGCCTCATTTTTTGTCTTTACTTAATATCTAGTCTAATGTCATGCCTTTAATCTGCACTGCTGCCTTAGGCTACTTAGTCTTAGAATAAATAGGTTAAAATATGCAGGATATGCAACAACCCTCTTTTATTTATTTATTTACTTACTTAGAGGAAGATTAGCCCTGAGCTAACATCTGGGGCCAATCCTCTTTCTCCTGAGGAAGGCTAGCCCTGAGCTAACATCTGTGCCCATCTTCCTCTACTTTATATGTGGGACGCCTACCACAGCATGGCTTGACAAGCGGTGCCATGTCGGTACCCGGGAGGTGAACTGGTGCACCCTGGGCCACGGGAGTGGAACGTGCCCACCCAACTGCTGTGCCACGGGGCTGGCCCCCAACCCTCCTCTTTTTTATATTTTATAAATGGACAAGTGATAGAAGGCAATATGGAGAAAGTACAAGCAGTTTGGTATACTTGAGTAACATGGTCATTAGTCAGTTTTCCTTTCATTTTCATTCTGCTGTTGTATAATAAAATTAATTTAAAAAAATGAACAGGACTAAGTTTTGGGGGAAGCAATTGAGGAATCTCACCTGTGTGTTTTTACTGCTCGGCTAAAGCCAGCAGACGTACAGGAACCCGATACAGTTTTATAACCCAGTTGTTCAGACATGCCCAGATTGGCCACCACTAAAGGTATCCTATGAAAAAGTCTGAAGAAATAAAATTTTAAAATATAAACAGAATAAAGTGAAAGATTAGCATCTACCTATCAGTATAGACTACTTTTCCCCTACAAGATTAAAAAAACAAACAAAAAATTCCATTCCTTACTACCTATCCAATACAGAATTTACTGACTTGAGGTAAATGGCTTTTAAAAGTTGTGAAATGTGCGTAGTATAAGATAATTGTGTGAAAAATACTTGAATGGCTATTTTAGCTGATTAGCACATCTAAGACTAGGGCAGTATTATTGAGATTTGTCCTATTTTCCATGAATAATAAAATTAATCTCAGTAACGTTTTAAACTAAATTCTCATATTCCATGAAAGTGTTGCTAGAACCCATGGGGGGTCCCTGTGAACACCTTTTGGTGGATCCCCAAGCACCACCTCGCTCCCTTGCAGAGTAATAAAAAGCTGCTCAAGTACCTGGGCTTCAGTTCTACACTGTATCTTTTAGTAACCAATTTCTAAAGCACACATATTTTTTCCACTTTATGATAAATAACAGCAAATTCTCAGTGCCAAAAACACAAGTTTTGTGTTTTTGAATGTTTCAGCATTCCATACTGGGCTTCTAATTTCCTTATGTGACCTTCATTTTCCCATTGGTAAAGAAAGATGGTAAGACCCACTTCAGAGGGTTATTGAAACAATCTAATGCAACAATATATGAAAATACTTGGTAAGCTACAAAAAGTAAAATAAAAATATTGGGCATATTTTTCTATTAGCTAACGATAGCCAGTGACTGGCCAACATTTACCCTTTCTGAGGTTTATATAAGGCATGCTCCAGCCGATGAGTAGAACAGCTTTCTGTTATTATACTTGGTGTTAACAGCAGAAAAACAAGTTCCTGGCTTGAAAGATGCTGCTGTAAGTTTCTGTGAAGCAGTCTCTCTCTAAACGTCATGATTTGGTCAGAATGACGTCGGAATTTGTACCAACCAACCACAACCTCCTGAAAGAAAATACAGAGAAAATATCAGGTGTATACCTTAATGGTTACAATTATTATGTGTCTTGCTGTCAAATTAAGCAATAAAACTGACAGCCTTTAAGAACGGCTTTCTTAATATTTAGCAAGATTTTGAGCACATATAAACAAAGCTTACACTTAAGTATATACTTTACTTTTGTAAAGTATGCAAACTGACTTGCAGTTAAATTACTTTCCATTCAGTTACAGGGCTACAATTTTATTCAATAAAGATTAGAGAAAAAAAATTCTTAACTTCCTCTAGTTTCTTTTGTGGCATTTGCTATCTCAAAATCTTAATCTTTAGTCAAAATTCAAATGAAGAAAATGTCAATGAAAACAAGTTAACTTCCTGCATGGATACTTGGTTTACTAAATAAATAAGCTGAACTCTGTAGCTTTTAAGTGAAATTTATAAGGGAATGCTATCACCTGCCCGACAGAGTTGGTTTCAAAATGGAATAAGATCATATGCAAGGGCTTTCTAAACTGTAACATGCCCAACAAATGTGTTGTTGGTATCATTAAACCTTTTTTTTAACTGGAAAAATAAATCTCATTTACTGAAAACTTAGTAATTATAGCAGAGAAAAACAACCACATTGCTTTGAGATCCGTCAGTGACAGTTTCAGCAACGAAGTTTTGTATTTGCACGTTTAAATCGAAGAAATTATTTCTCTTCTTTTTAAAACTCAAACATAACTGGTACATTTTTAAATATCCAATATAATTAGGGGAAAAGCCTAAGCATTTTCAACAAAGGATGTTTTTTTGAAAGAAACTTCTTTTACCGAATCTATTTTTATTCTCAACTCAGATCAAAAAGTTTTAAGAGGAAAAAGTATACAGAAAAAAACTTGTTTGTAAAAAAAAAAAAATCTATTTTGATCATTCAGCAAGTTTTAACTGAACACCAAGTATGCTGTGGAGGATTCACATTAGGTGCTGTATAGAAAATCGTTCCTGCACTACAAGAAACTAACTGCAGCGCCATAAAATAACAGTAATGGATGAAGTCCTTCAAGGAATGGTACTGGGAAGGGGCACGGTGGGAAACGCAGAAGAGGAAGAGATGAGCGTTAGTTAGAATAGTCAAGGGAAGGATGCGAACAAGATTAATACCATTAATGACTAGCTTTGCTTTGAATTTCTGGAAAGAACAAGGCTTTCCTCACCTTTATAGGACACTGTGCAGAAAAATGCTGCTTAAAAGTTCTGTCAAAGTGTTTTTATATGTTTTTAGGAGCCAAAAATAATACAAATAATACCAAAAAATAAAAGCTACATCAGGGAATACCTTTTTGACACCTGATAATATTTTCTTCAGTGCTTGCTCATTTACTTCTCCGGAAGAATTATAAAAGCTGTAAAAGCCAAAATTAAAGGCGTTTCAAATAAGCTAAAAATACGAAGGATTTTATCAGCACTTTTAATTTTAGTTATTCCTAACCCAAATACGCAACCAAAATCTATATACGTACTTGTCCATCAGATGTAGGTCTAAAATAAATAGGGAAAGTTCTCAAATTAACAGACTTAAAGTAGTAGAAATACGAGGTCCATAAACAGTGAAAAAGGAAAAGGAGTGGAGAAACCTCAAAAGATAAATTCGGGCATTACATTTTTTTTAACCTAAAACAAAACAAACCATCCATTAAGTACAGGTATATCTAAGTTCACATAGCCAGTTCACAATTTGCTTATTAAAACTTTTTTTTTCAGTATTGATACATACAAAAGAATGTGTAATATGAGTAGAGAAGCACAATCACAAGACAATTTATTAATTGCTAATCTCAAAAGCTATACTTACAGAAAATTAAGAGAAATGCGTTAGAAGTTGATTGGTTGTTTTCTTAGGGGTGGGAGAGAATAGGTGTTGGTTTAGTTTAGTGGTCTTTGTTCTGTAGGTGGAATGTCAAAGATGTAGGGAGAATTGAGACATATTCTAAAACATTCTAAAGCATTAACTTCCAGCTTTCCTTCCCTTCTAATAATTGCAAATAATATTTTCCTCCTTTTAACATTCACTGAGATCAACAATATTCTTTCTATGATGGTGAAATATCTGTTATGCAAAATCCTTTACAAATAATATTCACTATAATAGGCTTTTACTGGTAATACTAATCTGTACACTGAAAAAATTTAGCTACAGAAAACTGAAAAAAATATATCCTAATGGGCAATATATTTTTACTTTTTAATTTACAAAGACTTACATTAAGTTTTCCATTAAAAAATTTTAATGGGAAAATAGACAAAATAAAGTGTTCCACCTACCAAAGGGGGATATTTAGCTGACCAACAGATCCCTCCATTTTACCTATTTATTATTCCAACATGAAAACTCTCAATATGAGTTTATTCCCATATTTCTGTAGATGGTCCACTTCTGAGCTTCTCAAACTGGGGATAAGGCAATACACCCGGGTGTATAAGAAACAATAGGGAACAGTGTACATCTTCTGCGCAAGCACTGATTTTATGTGAAGTTTCTGGGAAGGGGGTCATTTTTATATAGAAATAGATATATTGTGCAGTAGAATTATGTTAAAACTGCATTTTTGTTTTTTAAGTGACTTTAAGTTTTAGGCTTCAATGGGCTGTTTTCCAGGTACTTCCCCCAGATTCCTGAAGTAAGCTTATCAGTGTATTTCAGTGGAAAATTTTGAGAAGCAATGTATTACAGAGGGTTTGGCAAACTTTTTCTGTAAGGGGCTGGATAGTAAATATTTTAGGTTTTACTGAACACACAGTCTCTGCTGCATATTCCTCTGTTGTTCTTATTTTTTTTATTTTTATTTTTTAAAGATTTTCTTTTTCTCCAAAGCCCCCAGGTACATAGTTGTGTATTTTTAGTTGTGGGTCCTTCTAGTTGTGGCATGTGGGATGCCGCCTCAGCATGGCTTGACACGCAGTGCCATGTCCGCGCCCAGGATGTGAACTGTTGAAACCCTGGGCCGCTGAAGCAGAGTGTGCGAACTTAACCACTCGGCCACAGGGCCAGCCGCAGTTGTTCTTATTTTTTTACAACCCTTAAAAATACATTAACTATTCATAGATAGAGGGGCATATAAAAACAGGCCACGGGGCCATACTTTGCCAGCCTCTGCATTAGAACATAAAACTAGCCATTAAAGTTTATTCCAGTGGCCGGCCCCGTGGGCAAGTGGTTAAGTTCGCGCACTCCAGGCACCCAGGCTTTCACTGGTTTGAATCCTGGGTGTGGATGTGGCACCGCTCGTCAAGCCATGCTGAGGCAGCGTCCCACATGCTACAACTCGAAGGACTCACAACTAAGATATACACAACTATGTACCGGGGGGCTGTGGGAGAAAAAGGAAAAAAATAAAATCTTAAAAAAAAAAAAAAGTTTATTCCATTCGGACTCCAAGAAGTGTGGTATCAGAAGACTTTGTTTTTAATGTGTTCACCTATATTATTTAAAACAGGGAAGAAATAGCCTGGTATGCTGTTGGATTAGAACTCAAGAAATACTGATTCTCCTAGTTTTGCCCTACGATTGACCAGGTCTGTGGCATTGGTTATATCATAAACTTTTTAGGCCTATTGTTAAGGCAACATGAAGAGTGTAATAAACTTTCAAATGAGAGCCATTTCAGGGGGTTCACCTAACCCCCTCCCCCACCTTAATCTTGTAAAGCTAAAAGGCTGAGGCATGGATTTCTCATCCCTCGATCAGATGGTTTCCTTAGCTCTAAGATTCTATTAAGTTGCTCTATTTAAGGTAGTTGCCAGAAAGAATCACTTCTTTTTTTTTTTCCCCTCACTCTCCCTTCTTAATCCTTTGCTGGTCGAGAGTCCCTCAGGGAAGAACTTACTATGAGTCTCCGCCAAGAATCCCTCAGTCATTCAACAAATATTTTTATATGTCCATTGTATAAAAGGCACTGTGGGAGGTGGCTTTCTGGTACAGCAGTTTAAGACCACACTAAGCCTTTATTTCTGTCACCCCCCCACCAACCATACGCTCCACTGTAACTCTTACACAACCGCAGAGATGTGTACATACAGTGCGACTGTAAGATAGCCATGCTGACTTTGCATGTACTGTTTATGTAAATCATAAAGCTATTTCATTAAAACTGCACCATGCTGTGGTTATATGCGTTTGCTTTATGAAAATTCATTTGTTTGTGTACTTTTCTATATGTATGTTACACCACAATAAAGTTTTTAAAGATATCATAGCCTATTAGGGCCAACAGTACTACTACTATGTATAGGACTGAGTGCAAGTTTTCACCCTAGAAGAGCAACAGGAAGCAGGCTAACTAAAGAAACTTACCAGTTAATAGACAAAAGATAACATTAAAAAATATGATAGTGAGGAAACATGACAAAATAATTAGAAGAAAAGGGTAGAAAAAACGGGCTGCTGCTATGCATGAGAACGTGCCACTGGGATTATAACGTGCAATGAGGTGACTGGTGTGAGAAGGAAAAGCAATCCTCAGGTACACTGGTACCTAGGAGGCCATGGAGCCAGCTCAAGCAAGCACATCAGTACAGAGAAAAGCTATTAGACTGAACTGAAAGGAACAAGTGAATTTTCAGGCATTCAAGAAAACAGTCTTTTCATTTTAATCAGTACCACCATATATAACTGGTAACTAAGATACTTTGTTAGTTTTAAAAATTACTTCACTTGCAGAGAATAATTTTCACAATGGATCATTTACCCGATCTTACTACTCACCTAAAAAGCTGATAGCATGGAATATATTTTTGAATGTCTAGAAAAAAAGAATTTTTAGTTATGATTACATTAATTTTCATTTGAACAACATATATTGAACACCTCACGCCAGGAAGTACTTTACCATCTTCTCATTTAATCCTCACAACAAGCCTATGTTATCATTCCTTCCATGTTAAAGATGAAGTAACAGGCAGAGGTTTTAAGCAGTGAATTTTATTCTCTTGTCAGTAGAAATACATCTGTATAGAAAAAGTGATCATCCTTTTTACATATTTTTTTTTAGACATTTTCATAAATCCCTCTGAAAAAACAGTGAACAGAAACAGTCTTTGTAACTGCTCACTGGCCAAACACACTCTGGTGTAGATAAGGGAAAGTATAAAAGTGATGAAAATCTCATTAACCAAAGCAGAGCAGTAATTTGTAGATCTTGAATTGTACCTGTTAGCCATCTATTTTAAAGTAATCCAACATTTTAAAATAAGTTGAGCAAATACATTAAGCGTCCCTACAGCACTTGCCTGATACCTTAAAGCTTAGTGGTGCTCCAAGCACAATGGAGTTACTCAAAAAATGGTTGTGTAATTAAACTCCTCAAAATATATTACATACTTTGGGGAGCATGCCAATTATAATTAGGGAAAAAAATGCCCTAAAGGCTTCATTTTAAAGCTCCAGCTGACCAGGAAAAAAAAAAAAATTAACAAAGTAAAGTTACAAACTGATGAACATGTGTAACCCGTGACAAAAGGCCAGTTTCCTTACGTCAGTTACAATATGGTATTACAAATCAGTAAGAAAAAGCAAAGTAGCCCAGTAGAAATATAGTCAAAGCACAGAACAGGCCTGTTCTTTTCAAAGAAAAAGGGCCCCCCAAAAAGTCAAATATATGAACACTTAACTTCATTTGTAATTAAGAAATGCAAATTAAAACGATATTTTTTTCACTTATCAAATTGGCAAAGATTAAAAGATCTGATATGGGGCCCGCCCCGTGGTCAAGTGGTCAAGTTTGTGCACTCCGCTTCGGCAGCACAAGGTTTCGCCAGTTCGGATCCTGGGCACAGACATGGCACCATTCATCAGGCCACACTGACGCTGTGTCCTACATGCCACAACTAAAATACACAACTATGTACTGGGGGGCTTTGGGGAGAAGAAAGAAAAATAAAATAAAAATAAATAAAATCTTAAAAAAAAAAATCTGATAATCCCTAGTGATGGCAAGAGTGTGGGGACTCAGGCACTTTTGTAGATTGTGGAAGAGTCCAAGATGGCATGACTTCCAAAAGGCAATGGTCTACCTCCAGGAATCTGACTTCCAGATATACTCAAGGGCACAAAGATATATGCACTAGAAAATGTTCATTGTTATAGTGTTTTGTATTAACAAAAAACCAGAAAGTCATTCAAAGCTGGTTAAATAAGTTAGGGTATGTTCATACAATGGACATTTGAAGCCATTAGAAAGAATGAAAAACTGTAAGAATTGATACTATTCTGCAGTAATGCTATCTTAGAGATATTTACCTATGTATAGCATGATCCCTTTTGTGTAAATAAACATATACACACATTTATATGTGTGTATTCTGTGTATTGTTAATGAGTAAAAAAAATACTCATGAAACCAACAGTGGTTGCCACAGTGAAGATGATAATGAGAGTGAGTTTAAATCTACTTTATATATTTACTTTACACACATATACATTTATATTGTTTGCCACTTTAACAGGTTAAAAATGGAAGTGTATATATATATATAAATTTTATATATGTATACGTTTATATACATATATATAAATGTATATGTGTGTAAAGTAAATATATAAAGTAGATTTAAACTCACTCTCATTATCATCTTCTCTGTGGCAACCACTGTTGGTTTCATGAGTATTTTTTTTACTCATTAAGTGGCAAACAAAAATGACATACAGTAGGAGTATGAACTGATGTAATCTTTCTAGAAAGCAATTTGCTAGTACAGTTCAAGAACCTTAAAAATGTTCATACCCTTTGACGTAATACCATTCCCAGGAATCTATCCATAATAGATGTAGAAAAATATTTATACACAAGGATGTTCACTGTAGTATAATTTATGATAATGAAAAATTGGAAACAACTCTGATTATAATTTATTTACGTAAGAACTGTTGAAATCACATATAGCCATAGAGTAAGTCCATAGAAAACACAATGCAGTTATAAAAAATGATATTTAGAGGATTATTTAACATGGCAAAATGGTCATGATACAATATGCTGTTGTGATGCCAAATTTTTTATAAAGCACACCACCAATTTTGTCTAAAAAAAATGTGCTTAGAAAAAATTGTGTACGTTAGATAATCAGAAAACTCTCTCTGTATTTTAAAGCTCCCCTTCCCCTTTTTCCTGAAAGAACAGCTGCCACCAGCTGCAGCTGCTTCACCACTCACTCCTCGAACCCTGTGCACTCTGGTCTTTTCCCCACTATACTCCAGAAATAACTTAAGGTTTTCAATTACCTCATCACTGAGTTTTCTCAGCTCTCATCTTCTGACTTTTCTGCAGCATTTAACACTTTTGTCTAAATTGTTTTATCTTTTTTCTTGGTCTTGCTTATTGGTTCCGCCTCCTTTTGCTGGTCCATGTTCCTGCCACTTAAATATATGCAGGAGCTATTTCATCCTTGTTTCCCCACAGTAACCTTACCCGCTTCCTATATGCCATACTGTTTCTTGCTCTAGACTTGGCCAGGGCCCTAATTTTAATTGAGAAATGAAGGCAATATATTCTTTTAAAATCTGCTTTTAAAAATTTGCATCTGTTTTTTAACAATTTAAAAAGCAATGTATGTTGATCTCTTTCAGCATAAACTATCAAAAATAGGAGACATAGAAATAAGTCACTCACCAATTGTATAAATAACTTCAACATCATCCATCTGGGAATCAGTAATGCTATTCTTGGCTTCACCTTTCACCTCTCCAAGGAGAAGACCTTCCTATGAAGACAAAAATAAGAAATATATTGAATACACTGATAAAATTACCATTCAGTCACTTAACTAACCAATATTTCCCAAGTATTTTACAATGTATGAGTGTGTGCTACTAGCTGGGGGGCACACAAAAGAAAGACCAGGTGCACTTCCAGTTTAGTTGGGAAACATGAACAGTTAAATAAAACTGAGTGAGTAAAAGAGACTGTAAATACCACGGTGCTTGCTAGTACACTCGGAAGCACAAAAGGCCTAAAGCCAGAAAGGAGTACACTATGTTTGAGGAATGAGGAGCAGGGCAGTTGCCCTGGAGCAGAAGGCTCCAATTGTGAGTAAGGAAACCACAGACAGGAGTCACGCCAATAACAGAACATCCCAAATGACGGGCCAAGGACTCTGGATTAATGGCACATGCTTCTGGAAGCCAGTGGAGGCTTCTGAGCTACGAAATGACACAATGATCAGTACTTTTAGGCGAAAAATTGTGCAAAACATTAAAGATTTGGAATTCAGTATCAGAGTCTGCTTTCTCAAAGGGGAGCTGCGACTCTTGATTCTTTTAAAAATACATTTTGGCACCCCAGTAGTGATTTCTTTGAATTTCGGAGAATTCAATTATTTGTCTCGGCACATTTAAAGACCCAATGTGCCTGACAAGCAATGAAGATTTTATGTTCTTTATAATTAGTTAAGATGTTTTTTTTTCCCCATTTCATTAAAAGAAGAGCACCAAAGGAATGTTTCCACAATGTGGGTCTTCTCTGGAATCAAGGGGGAACAACCCAGAACTCTGCACTCAAGTGTTCCAGACAAATCCTGGGAAAGGCAGCAGGGACAAGGCCAAGTACAACTATCCAGAAAACCACCTTTCAAAGACTTTGGGAGAAAGATCCAAGAAACAAGGGCTAATCCTTTAAGCTACAGAGAAGTTACAGACCCATTCTGTTTATATTCACTCTAAGACATTCCAAAGTAATTTCCATTTTGGATAAGACAGACCTTACATTATAAAACGAAGAAAACAAAATTTAGCTGAAATTACTAGGCTTTGTTCAGCACGGTATTCTCTAAACCGTATTAGCAAGTCACTAAACACTCTAAGACACTACAGTCCTTTCCGGGCTCGAAGCTTTATAGTGTTTTGTAATTTAACAAAAATAAAAGTTTTAAAAAATAGGCACTGTATTCTAAAACTTCACTATTTAACTTCATCCAGAGGTTTTGAACCTAAGAAAAAGTATGAAATAAGCATTTAAATATCTAGTATTTGAGGATAAACTTAAATGTTTCAATTGTAACTGAAAGCAGAGAAAACGAACTAGCTGAGGCCTCCCACTTTAAGAGATTTGATACCAATGCAAAACAAAAGTCAGACAGCCAACATCCCAAATTAAGCTTTTTTCATCCACCACCATTTCCCAAAAACAGCCTCAGGATGCAACATCTGCCATTTCCGCAAACACGCACAGCTGCTGCTCTGCAAGAACAAATGGAGTCGTCTCTGAAAACGACCGTCGCCGGCCGGGAGAAGGGAAAGTTAACGAGCCCCTTCCGAGCGGCGGCGGGAGCAGCTCTCCGACTACCCTTTCGCGGCCGAGTTCAACCAGGGAGGCGGAGCGCGGCGGGGGCGCGGCGGGGCGGGGGGCACACTCGCTCCGCGCGCCGAAACACACAGTGTCGTAGGGGGCGGGCGGGCCCGAGGGCAGCGCCCGGCGCGGCGGCGGAGGCAGAGAGGGCGCCCGCGCGCTGGGCCTCCTCCCAGGGGATTCCGCCCCGCCCCGCGGCTCACCGTGTCCGAGTCGGTGTTGAGGTGCTGGAAGGCCAGCGCGCCGAGCACAAAGCCCGAGAGCACCGCCGACGTGCTCTCACCCTCCATGCTGCCGCCACAGCGCGCTCCGGGGGGCGGGGCAGAGCGGGGCGGGCGCGCCGGCTGGATCCTGAGGCGGCGAGGCGGGGCGGCGGCGAGGCGGGGCCAGCGAGGGGCGGGGCCGGCGCCGGCGCAGAGGCCGCAGCGCACTCCGCTGACGGGCCGCCGGGGGAGGCGCGGGCGCCCTCTGTTGGGCAGGGCGGGGCGAGGCGGCTGTGGCCCGTGTGGCGGGCCGGGGGCTCATTCCTGGGGTCTTTCCCAGCCTTCCGCTGGCCGATTCCCAAGAAGGGCCACGCGGTGTCGTGCGCCTCTTTGGAGAAGCAGGGAATGCGTGTGGGTGGCCCCCTGCTGCCGACGGACCCGTGGCCAAATACCCATAACTATCAAAAAGGAACGCTGCTGACAGAATAAAAGCATTGCTGGGTGACATTGTAGTAGCACAGTGGATGTGCCACGGTTAGGGTTTTCAAAGTGCACGACGCTGCCCATTGAAACTTCTAGAACACTAATACACATTTCAGGGATTGTCTCTTCTAGAACTTTCCTGCAATGTTCCATCCGTGTGAGGGGCGGGGCAGGAGACGGGTTTGGTTTCTTTGCCTGCTTTTAGAAAATTAAGAACTCAGATCAATTTTAAAAATACATAGATTTTTAGCACTGTTCTGATAGTTTACTGATAGGTATAACCATACTGTGTTGGAGCGTTTGATGTAAATGGTAAAGGGGAACCTAAAGATCAGGGCTTGACAATCCCACCCCCCAAAACACATGCAAAATGTAAAGCTATAGTTTTTAAATGATTGAAATTTACGAAAATATCAGGCTACTGAATTGAGTTAGTAGTGTACAATTCTGAGTTTGTTGTGTGGCAGCCATGCTTGGCTGAAGACCTGTATAGAATTAATAATTGTGTTTATGCTCTAAAATTAAGTTTCTTGCTTTCATTTCACCACAATCACTGTTGATATGAAAAGATTTTCACATAATTTATTTTTTATGGATAGTAATGACCTAAAGGATTAAAAAATTAAATGTAACACTGTTCCAAGAGACTAGAAATAAATCCTTGCGTATAGGTCAAATGATCTTCAATGAGGTTGCCAAGGCTGTTCTTTGGGGAAAAGACAGTCTTTTCAACAAACTCAGAAAGAATGAAGTTAGACTGTTACATTATACCATGTACAACAGTCAGCTTAAAAGGGATCAAAGACCTAAACATAAGACCTGAAACTATAAAATTCTTCAAAGAAAAGATAGGGGAAAAGCTTCACAACATTGAATTTGGCAATGATTTCTTGGACATGACACCAAAGGCACAGACAACTGTAGGGGAGAAAGAAATTTTCCTCTACCCTTCTAGGCTATTCTGGCTGGTCTAAAATTTAAATTGACATGAAATAGGATAACAGGAGAAAATCAAACAAAATTTAATAACATGTACATGGGAGAAACCCAGGAAAACTGAGTGACTTGCCAAAGTGGCCAAAGCCACTACCATAAATACCATCTTCAGCTAAAGACAAAGGAGGATGTTGGGGCTAGTGGTTTGGGATTTCAAGGGGATGAAGGCAATTCACACGGACATGGAAAAGCAAATGTTTAGTAAACAAATGTTTGCCATACTGTGCAGAGACCGAGGGACATGGAGGGGACTTTGATCAAAGAGGCCTTGCTAGGTTCCCCCCTGTCTAGCACACCTAGTTCATAGTAAACTATAGTCACCAATGGTGACAGCTCCTTCTTGGAACAGACATTCTGTCTTAAATTCTTTTAGGCAGTTAGGAGGAAGATCAAAGTTTTTTCCTGAGTCTTTTGTTCTTAAAATTGATCAAGCCAAAGAGATATATTTTGGGGTGGCAAATTCTGCTCCCCTACACAACAAAGGAAAAAATAGACAAATTGTACTTCATCAAATTAAAAACTTTTGTCCCTCAAAGAACACCATCAAGAGAGTGAAAAGACAATCCACAGAAGAGAGAAATATTTGCAAACCATAAATCTGATAAGAGATTAATATCCAGAATATATATAAAGAACTACAACTCAACAACAAAAACAAACCAATTAAAAAATGTGCAAAGGACTTGAATAGATATTTCTCCGAAGAAGATATACAAATGGCCATTAAGCACATGTAAAGATATTTAACATCACTAATCATTAGGGAAAAGCAAATTAAAACCACAATGAAAAACCACTTCACACCTATTAGGACCGCAATAGTATAATAAAAAATATTTGGTCTTTGTCCCAGCATCTAGGAACAAAGCTCCTAAAATCCTTGGAGTCTCCTGAATGATAAAATGTCTTTTGTATTCTAATGGTGACTTGAGGGGGCACAGGGGTGGGGGTAGGGGGGTGGGAGTAGGCGGGGTGGAAGTAGGGGATGTGGGTGGGGGAGCCAAATAATTTAAGGATGGGAGCTGGTTGCCAGAAAGACGAAGCCTTGATTACGCTATTGGACCTTTCAGCCCCACTCCTGACATCTTAGGTGAGAGGGGCTGGAGACTGAGTTCAATCACCAATGGCCAGTGATTTAATCAATCATGCCTAAGTAATGAAACCTCCATTAAAACCCCTAAAGGATGGGGTTCCTTGAGCAAAATCAAGCAACTGTCTGAGAAGCCTTATCAAATTTGCTGTCTCTGCTTCACCTCATGGGTCTTGTAGAGACTAATAAAAACATTAAATTAGTTAACAAGGAAATAGGGAAAGGCAGAGAGGAGAGTCGAGGGACTCTCCCAGTAAGGTGGAAATCTTTAGATGGTTATTTTAAAATGGGATGAATAAAATGGATATTGATGGGTTGAAAAAAATGTCTTAATATAGCACTATCAAAGCTTGGATGGACAAAATGGACACCCCCCCCCCCCAGCCTTCCAACATTAAAATGGCCCAAATAAATCCTGTTCTATTTATCCCAGTTTGTAGAAATTTTAAAAACTGGAAGGCAAGGCATACAATGAGAAACCTGACCTGGAATGGCCTGGGGCAATAGGCAGATTAATCAAGGGAAAGATTGACAAAAGGGCCAGGTCCCTGGGCTAGGGACCAAAATCCTAACACAGAGAGTGGGTCAAATGGTCAGGGGATGAAGAAGAGAAGTTTCTGAGATTCCTTGATGCAGGAGCCTTAGGCACTGTGGTGCCAACACCTGTTGGTGAAGCCCTAACATGGGCTGCAATTAGAATGAAAGAATATGGAAATGTAAGAGCTGATAACAAGGTTAAGGTGAAAGTTCGAATAAAAAGTGTTATGTTTAAACAGGCTTTATGTGAAGAGATTGTCTCCTTTACCTAAATGTTTTGTGGAAATAGATATTATATCTAGTGGGGAACACTTCCCTTACCTAGAACTATAAAATCAAAACTGGAGCCAGCCCTGTGGCTGAGTGGTTAAGTTTGCATGCTCTGCTTCGGTGGCCTGGGGTTCGCCAGTTTTGATCCTGGGTACAGGCCTACACACCACTCATCAAGCCTTGCTGTGGCGGCATCCCACATAGAAGAACTGGAATGGCCTACACCTAGGATATACAACAATGTACTGGGGCTTTGGGGAGAAAAAAAAAGAGGAAGATTGGCAACAGATGTTAGCTCAGGACCAATCTTCCTCACATAAAAAAAAAAAAAAGCATACCTAAAAAAAATAATAATAAAAAATAAAACCAAAACCTGCTAAGGCTTTTAATTTATATTATCAAATCATCCTATAGTAAAGCTGTTCTAATTTACAATTCCATAAGAAATGAATGTCTTGAAAAAATGAAATATCATTGAATGGAATCTTTGCCAGTATTATGGGTCAAAATTCTTCTCTTAGATAGTTAAAATTGTATAATTGGTACTTCTTTGCTTGCTGTTACCAAACCAAGCATGTTACCAACATGAAGCTGTTGCCAAACTGAAGTGGGTTTTGCTTCTTGGTGAGTTGAAACCAAAGCCTTCACCAGAAGTAGTTGTTACACAAAGTAAAATTTATTTGCAGCAAATAAAGGAGACCACGGGGAATCATTTCCAAAGCCGTGGCTCCTGGGCAAGGGAAAACAGGTACCTTTTATTTCAGATGGGGAATGAATATTCAAAAGGGAGCTTTCGTCATCACATGCAGAGGTGGGTATTCACTCATGCAGGTGCAGTTTGAAAACATGCCTCCACGTACATTTGCATGTTATGGTAACAAGGCCTAAGCTCCTCCTGGGGCAGGGATCTCAACATTAAAATGAAGCAAAGGTAACTCTTGGGCTCTTCTCAGCCCATCTGCACAGGTGTCACTCTTGCCGCGGGGCTTGGACTGGTTCAGGGTGGTTGGTGATTGATCTCTTAACATAACTAAAAAACACCTTTGAGAAACAATTAAGTGCTTCTGAAATCTCTTTCTCTCTTTTTTTTTTAAATCTCTTTTGAGTTACTCAGGGCAGTTAGTCAGTGACAAAACTGAGACATGTGTTTTGGTCATTTGTGTTTGTTCTCTTATGAAGTACATGAAGCTATATTTGCCCTTTTTCTATTGCTGTTTCTATCTTATTGATTTAAAAGAGTGTTTATATATTAAAGTATATATATATATACACTTTATATTATTATATTTATAAATATAATAATATAAATATAATAAATATAATATACAAATATAATATATAAATAAAAATATATAAATATATATATAATATATTTATATTGTCTGTCAAATATTGAAAGTGTTTTTTCTTCCCAGATGGTTTTTAACTTTTAATTGTGTTTCAGGTAGTTATTTTTAAATCAGAAGCTTTATAACTTTGTATTTAAAACTTTCATTCATATCCTTAATCTTTCTAAGGTATCATGTTTAGGAAGACTTCCTTGTCTTATGATTAATAACCATTGTTATTGAATAAGAGGCAATTACTACCTAAGACTAACAGACTATCATCATTAGCTGAATGGAACCATAGCAGAGATCATTTACCAAAGTCTAAATACTGGACCCATATAAACAATAGAATTGCTTTTAAAAGACTTTTAAAAAATGATTATTTGTTCCTCTCTTCACTAAAAGGAACTAGTGCTCCTTGGAGAAAGGCTGATTTCAAGGGCTGGGGC